TGTGAACGCGGCGGGGGCCGGGCTGGGCGTGCTCACCGTGGCCGAGTGCCAGTTGAAGCAGTGCGTGCGGAAGTGCGCCACGGCGGCCTGGTAGCAGTCATGCTCCGTGAGCGGGGCTCGCTGGGACAGGAGGCCCTCCACCTCGGCCTCCGACGCGGCCAGCAGGGAGACGATCTTGCGCACCGACACGGCGATGACGTTCCTCACCTGGGCGGAAACACACCTTTTCAAATGCGGTCTTCCTTGGCATCACGATGGTGAGAGCACCTTTCAAGATGGGCACTCACAGGGTACCCAGCCCCAGCTGGCTGATGCAGACGCCAGCAACCCCATCCAGGACGGGCAAGAGGTGCGGCAAGGCTGTGTGCCACCAGAAATCCCTTGGCTATCAGGGACCTTCTGGCACGAGGGGAGGAAGTGGGACTCAATACTGGAACAGCAGGGCCTGGCCCACCTGGGGAGGGTGCAGAACCTGTGCCCCAGAGCAGACCAGCGTCCCCTGAGCGGGGCTGAGTGTTCACGGGCACCACTGCCCACTCAGGAAACCACAAAGTGGCTGGACAGAGGGGCCTGAAAGGGAGCACTGTATCCCTCCCGGATCCCGAACTACAGCGTCACGAAAAGGGACCGCTTCTGTGTTAACCTAAATCCGCAAGCGTCGCTCTCTCCCGTCTTTTTTTTCCTTACCCCTTAGTTTTTGCTGTAAGGTGCAAGCACTTGCAGGAGAGACACAGAGAGAGAGGGAGGGAATGTAAGAAATCGCCCCCGGGGGGGAATGGCCACACCGTAATCCCTTCTCCTCTGTTCTCTTGGCATTACCAACACTCATGAGTCTGGTGTATCTCAAGTCTGAGGGTCCGGGGCTCTGGGACTTGAACTGCGCATCAGCTAAGGATCCACCCTTCACCACCATGCCACAGGCTGCCCCTGTCCCGTCGTGTCTCCAGCCACAGCTGAACCCCTTGGAGTCAGAATCCTACAGACTTACTGCCTGCCACGGGTCAGACCTGCAGTTCTCCACGTGTCCCCGCGGGCTCCGGCAGGCTCTGTAAGCTCCTCCCTCTCCCCCAGCTATCTACCTGCAGGGCCAAACTCTCTTCATCTACCAGAACGATGGAGCCCACCCCGGTGCGTGCAGGGGTACGCACAGTGACCCAGTGACCTTGCACTGCGCTGGCCATGGGAGAGACATGCAAACACTCAAAGCAATGCCACTCTCAACCCAAATTGTTTCTGTTTGGGAAAATGTTTTTCTTTTTCTTTTGAGGGTGCATGTTCTCATGAGAGAAAAGTATCATGAGTGGGGTGTGATCATGTTGCAACCCCCTCTCCTCTATTCTTCCATCCCGCTGGGATTCTGAGCACACATGAACACCCATCTGGCATGTTTTTCAAGCTGCCAGAGCTGGGACTTGAACCATAGACAGTCATGTGAAATCTGGCTTCCTTAACCAGAGAGAGAGAGAGAGAGAGAGAGAGAAGGGAGAGAGACATAAAATGGGCTTATAATTTAAAATGTTTATGTTTTTATTTCTTTTCTCATAGTAATCTTATTATAAATATGCAGTTATACAACAGTTACCAGGACAGCTAAATCCTCTATAAAGTGTGTAGCGCCCAGCATCCCAGTTCCAGTCACTCTGCCAGTTTCAGACAGACGAGCCACTCAACACAGACTCAGGCATCGTAAAGGACAGCTCATGTATCTTAGAAGAATTTTAGGCTAAAACTTTGATTTCCTGAGACTAGACATTTTTGGTAGAGATTTAAAAAAAAAAAAAAAAAAAAACATTGATTAAATAAAAACACAAGCAGCAAAATAAATCAATTCTCTAAGTCACGGGGGATAAAGAGGGTAACACCCCAAGCCATGGCCTCTTGGCAGGACACAAAGGAGACAGGCCCAGCCCCCTGCTCTATTCTCAGAGGCCAAGGTCAACTTTTCCTGTGAAGAATGCTCACCTGCTTCTACCATGAGTGCAAAGGCTGGTTTCCTTCCCACATACCCCCATGTGGCAGGAGAAGGGGAGACTCTCCCCCCCTCCCCCGGAGTTCCCACCAGGTTCAGAGCAGTAATGGATAACGGGGAGGAAGCCGGGACCACGCCGGGACCCGCTGCCCCCACAAGGCTGGGAAGTGCAGCCGAGATGGCTCCTTCCTCCACTTACCTCCAGGTGCCTCTGGATCTCTTCAGCCAGCTTCTTGGACTCCTGCAGGTCATTGGTCCTCATCAGTTTCCTTTTCATGATGGCGAGGGGCACCTCAGGGCTAGGAGTCAGGTCAAGGTGCGTGACAGGTGGCAGAGAGATGGGCGTGCTGGCTTTGTGTTTCATGCCCTGAAACTGCATCAGTTTCATGGCAGAGATCGACTAGGGAGACAGAGAGAAGGCTGGTTTGAATGGGCAGAGACGTGCTGAGCCCCCTGGTCCAGCGTCTCTGCAAGAGGCTCACAGTCCACTCCCCATGTGAAGGGCCATGATCAGCCTGAGGACATGGGTCAGCCACTGGCAGTAGGCGGGGTCACATCAGAGCACCTGATCCACCCGTGAGTCACTCTGGAACTGCCTGCCACTCTGACCACAGCTGCTTCCATCACATAAGAAAGGCACCGTGAACCCCAGTCAAGCAGAGCCTGCACGAGAGCGCTTCCGACCAGCAGTGACCGCAGGTTGTGTTCACCTGCCCTTACTCACTGCCTGTCCTAGTGACCAACAGAGAAGATGGGGGAGCACATGTCCAGGGGAGAACTGAGGTCTGGATCTACTGAGAAGGGCAGAGCTGCAGCCTTGGGGAGGCCAGGCTAACACTGGGCATTGATTGGGGTCTAACGAAAGGGCACAACTTCTGGGCTCTGCCTGCCTGCAGGTCACTACAGACCGGCTCCCACCTCTGGGAGAGAACCCTGCCTGCATTCTTATTCCTAACCAAGCAACGATAAGCCAAGAACAGGCCATGAACAGAGACCTGACACTCACACAGATATAAAATCGAGGTTTGGAGGAGAGCCATCACGCTCCCTCAGCCTGGACCAGTAGGACAGTGCTGAGGACGCTGCAGAGGATGGAAAGCCTGGGCAGAGCCCTCCCATGGCCAGGACAGTGCCCTCTCTAGGTCCCCTTTTTCCTTTTCTCTGCTCCTCCCTCTCCCCACACCCACTCAATAGCCTGACCAGATCTGTGGGGTCCTCGGTGTACTTGTGTCCCATGACTGCTCACAGGACTGACAGACTCACGGGGTCCCAGCCCGCACCCTGAGTAAAGGGCTGAAGACAGCTGGATTTTCTGGTTCTCAAGTTCTAGAAGGCCAGTGCTTTGAGCCAAGGCACATCTCAGCGGGCAAGCTCTCAGATAGTGGCAGGCTGCTCGGGGAATGATAGGGGGGCCTGCAAACTCCTGGAAGGCCCTGTACATGGTGTTGTCACATCTGCATAAGCCAAACCTCCCCTGGGGCTTCACTCAAGGCTCCAGCCCCAGTGGCCACCTGCCCTGACCTTGTCTGCACAGTCCTGGTGAACTTACTGACTTAGCCTAAGTCCCTGTGGACGTAGGTGGAAGGGCATGGAAGTCTCTAACTTGTAGCAAAAGGTAAAGGGGGCACCCACAGCCTACAGGGAAGCAGGACCCCAGGATCCCAGGGTGTGGCTCTAGGGGCAGTGCTTCACACCACCTCCAGGAGCAGCTTCTGGTCCGGCAGCCTCCTGCTGGTGCGAGGCCCGCGTGTGGTGTGTCTGATGCCCGGCCTGCCTTCATGTGCCGACTACCTTGAGTGCCAGGGTTCTGAGCAACGAGGAACTGCCTCAGAGAGGTGTGAGAGAGCTTGCCCAGGGGCTCACAACTCTGCGAGTTTGAACCTAGCGAGGCTGGCTCCAGAGCCCAGCAGGGTCCCCAGGATGGAGTGGCCAAAAGAGGCAGGGCTATCACTGACTTGGCCAGCCCTCACCTGGACGTTTCGCCCCATGGGACGAATGTTCCAGGCAGGCCCACCCGGGACCAAAGGCCTGAGCGAGAGCGCAAGGCCCTCCACACACCTTGTTGCCATACTGCATGACGTGGCTGGTGTTGGTATGCGACTTCACCAGGCGGTACTGCTTGTGGAGGCTCTCCTTCGTCAGGTCCTCCTGCAAAGACAAGACCGTGAAGCCCTTGGGCTGCCACCACCTGTGGGGAGACCCAGCTGCACGGCGCCCCACGGAGGCTCACCACGTCCGAGTCCTCCATCCAGTTGACGCTGTACCAGTCTCCAAGGTAGGTGTTCCTCTCTTCATCGTAGTAGCAGGCATAGGACGACTCGTCGGGGTTGGCGGCCGTGGTCGCATAGACTACAAGGAATTAAAGACATCTCAGTTGCATTTGATTTCTTGCTGTAAGTAACACTGGCGCTCGGGTCTTCCCTTCTCCCCGAGGACACAGAAACCTGCCGGCGGACCCGGCACAGGGAGGACAGGGAGTGGCACTGTTTCCAGCCTGTCGTTTGGTGACACTGTGCTAAAATGGGATGCCAGTTGGCAGACTCTTCTGTAGCAATAAGCTAGCAAGCATGCTTAGGGTAACAAGCTACAGAGGAAAGACACGACACAGGAAAATAGTTCCAGAAACTCGGAGAATGTGGGTCTAATTTGGTTTCCAGTGAAAGTTAACATTTAGTGAAGAAAAACTAAGATTAATGGAACTTGAGCGTAGCTACTATAGGGTCGTTGGAAACGCCGTGACATATTTTTCTATGCAAAAATGCATCACGACTTTTCTGACGACCCAATATTTACTATTTACCATGGGCTCAGAACTGTGCTGGACAGGGCCAAACAGGTGTGGTGAGAAAGCCCAACACGGCAAGGCTGATCCAATGGGAAGGTTCTGGGTTCGTGTCCAGAGACCTCTCTGAGTATGCCAGGCATGCAACTGCCCATGATCCAGGGCTGGCTGGGGCTGGGGTGGATCACGGTACCAAGATCCCGTGGAGGGCGCTGTCTCTCTCACTCATGGAGGAAAGAAGAGAACAAACTTAAAAACAGGGGAGTAGGCGGGCTCCGCAGTGTGGTGTTTAAGGATGCCAGACCCCATCCTACAGTTCGAGTCCCAGACCTGGTGGTTTAGGAAACATGCTGGGTATATGAGCATGCATTCAACAGGTGGAAAAGGAGAAGGGTGAATTACAATAGGCCCATTCCCCACGAAAGGTGCTATCTCCCCTGTCTCTCTCTGTCTCTGGTGTGTGTATGTACCCTCTGCCAAAAAAAAAAAAAAAAACCTGAACTAAAAAAATATTATATTTTA